AAGTTCACAATGGTTAGTATATATATCTGGTACATGAGGGGGTATTCACGACTGAACATTGATGTGGAAAAGATTGCAAATGACGCTGGGGTGGGACGTCCAGTTTGTTTATGTTCAAAATGATAAACTCATTGCCAAAGTCAAACAACAGATACACGCAGACGGATGTCTGATCGTAAAAATCATAGCATGTGAATATGATGTTGACTTAACAAACATTGACTCTAATAATTCATCGATTCACCTGTCTCAAGAGTAGTTTTACAACTTAAAAACATCCATAATCGTAGGCATTGACTCCTTTATGCATACGTAACAACGCAACGCTTAGTAGTTAATCAAAATCCCGAGTCATTTGTCGTCTGATGAAAGCGCGAAGTTGAAATTTTCCTAGGTCTTTGATGAACAGTACCTTTGTGAATGCTATGCACTGCTTCTTGGATGGCATTTTTGTTTTAGCCCCAATAAAGCCTCATTATTTAACTGTCGGTCTGTGTATTATCGCCTTCTTAGGACGTGTCAGTTGAATATGTTCATCCTCCTCTGATGTGGGCTATCAGTTTGCTATGTGGGTTAATTTATTTCAAGATATAATCATACTGTGTATATTTTTAAGTAAATGGTGTTAGCGTGATTTTACCGGTGAATAAATTTCATTTGATAGTCAAAACAATAACCTACATGAGCTGAAAAAAGTCGAGGGTCAGAAGATATCTTATCACAAATATTGGGAAGAGACGTTCATCATCTTTGGCGACGTCATAAAAAAGAAAGAAAGTAGAACATGATGTGACAAACTTGGAAAGATTTAAAGACAGAGAGAAGCACCCCAAGAAGACAACTGCTGTTGCCAGGGCACATGAACTGATATGTGCAGTTTGTGGTCTCAAGTTGTGGAGATCATAATTGCGCACAAGTCAGTAAGGCATTTGACGACGACTATGATATGATGACGAGATGATGATGATGACGAGGACAACAACGACAACGAGAGCATTATCATTATTCTATGCAACAATGCTGCAGGTATCTCTTAGTCTGTCACTAATCTACTGACTGTCGATGAAGACATCAGAATATGCAAAGAAATGGCCAACTCTAGAATGGAGATTGGCTGTAATGTACTCATACCTGTGCATCCACTGCTGTATATGCACTTACAGTAAACCTCGTTATCATGTATTCCATAGGACGGCCAGATCAAACGTTCGTGTGAAACAAAATCAGCAGTAACCCCTGACTAACAATAATACATATCTGCTAGGACCACAATTCAGTTCACGTTTTTTTTTTTTATAACGAGGTTTCCTTTTCTATTACTATGGTACATAGTGAGATACCAGTCTCTTCCACGGTGCAACTTTCATACCACTGTTCGAAAGCCACGAGAACGGTGTTCTTCTAAACGAACTCTAGTACGTCGTAGTATTCTGAAATGCTTTCACTTACCTCTGCGCTATTGTGCGGCAGCATCTTGAAGAATAATATATACTTATTCTTGGTATGTATACTATGATGTTTTCGGTTCATTATTTTTTTTCACCCATCCTGGGGCCTCTGAGGTTTCTTAGGGAATTTCATGTAAAGACCCATAGCATAGGGTTGTTCGGGTTAGGTTTAGAAGTCGGTGTTCATTGTACACGAACGAACGAAAGTAACACATACTGAAAATGATGACGCAAAAAAAAAAAAAAAAAAAAAACTATGAAAACAACCAAGACACCCTCAGAGCAAAAGAAAGCAAAATGAACAGTTCTTTCTCTTCTTCTTCACTTCCTCTTTTACCGCTGTGGGTGTCGAGGGAGATGTAAGGTTCTGTTTCTAGCTCTTCTGGCCGCCTCAACCATAGGCACATCGTGCTGTTGTAGAGTTTCTCTGATGTTATCCTTCCATCTTGTTCTTGGTCTACCTCGTACTCTACGTCCTTCTTCTCTTTCCATGTATGCTTTGTATTGTATGGTGTCACAAGGCATTCTCTCTAAGTGGGCAAATCATTTCACTTGCTGTCTTCGTATGTAATCCAGAATTAGTTCTGTGCCGACGTTCTCTCTTATGATCTCATTCTTGATCTTATCTCTTATGGTCACTCCTACAGCCCTTCTCAGACATCTCATCTCAATGGTTTCTAATGTTCTTTTATGGTTTGTTGTGAGTGATCATGGCTGGCACTGGTAGCACAGAGTTGGAATAAATATGCTTTGAATAAGATGTCTCTTTGTGCTGATTGGGATTGTCTTATGCTGTAAGAGCTGTCCCAATACTTGGTTTGCTTTACTGCATCTAATGTTAATTTCTTTATTCAATTTCCCATCTTCGGTAAATGTAGTTCCCAGATATTTAATGTTTTCCCAGATGTTTAATGCCTTTGCACTCTATTGCTATGTATAGATCTGTCTTCTTATTTTCCTATTGACATTACTTCTGTCTTTTCAGTGTTGATTCTCATTTTATTTGTTTTATATTCTTCATTCATAGATGTTAGATGTTGTTGCAATTTCATGGCTGTATCTGCTATCAAGGCCTGGTCATCTGCAAAGAGTAATTCGTTGATCTTACTACCATTTTCATTCATGGGTTGGCATTCTTGCATATACTGTCGATATAGGTGATAAACAGCAGTGGTGATAAGACACACCCCTGTCTTACTCCAGATGTTACTGTGAATGGATGAGATGTTCCCTGATTTATTCTAACTACACTTCTACAATCCCTGTGTAAACTTTTGCAAACTTAGAAAAGGTGTTCGCTTACTTCAAATCTTGCCATTACTTTAGCAAAATATATGTCTGTCGACTCTGTCAAATGCCTTCTCCTGGTCTACGAATGCCACAAATAAGTTCTTATTGTATTCAATGTTCTTTTCTATTAACTGTTAATGTGTGAAGATTGCATCCGTACAGCTTCTATTTCTCCTAAATCCCATCTTTTCTTCTGCCAGCTGTGGTTCTATCTCTGGTCTCAGTCTTGTTTCTATTATCTTGGCATACATTTTGCCAACATGGCTTAAAAGAGAGATGCCTCGGTATTGACCGCATTCTCGTTTGCTTCCTTTGTTCTTCCACAATGGTATAACTATTGTATGTTGTCAATCAATAGGGGCAGTTTGTTGTACCCATGCTGCATTAAATATTCTGTGAAGCCATCTGAAGCTGCTTTCACCTGCTGTTTGAATTATTTCTGTTGGTAATCTATGAGCTTCTGGCGCATTATATTTGAGAGACTGCTTAATGACTTTCTCTACTATTTCAGGGGGTGGTAGATGAAGCATATGAACAGTTGTAGACACAAAAGAAAGTGGCGGGCGCACTTTTGTGTGGAAGACAGTTTATCGACTGGTTGTGGACTTGGTGCACAGTTTTTCACACATTGTATAACACCGAACAAAGTATTGTGATGCACACTTAGACTATGGACATTCGTAGGAAATCTCTGAGCTCTGAGATGGGGTGAAGTTTAAAAAAATAATCCTCACTTTCTCTTACGCAAAACTTGTAGTATGGAACCGTTATTCCTACAAGTAAAAGAGAAGCAAAGATGAGGACGAGTCTAGATTTATGTGAATAGCAGTTTTTAACTAGATATGTATCCCTTTAAACTTCACTAAAGAACACAGTCAACAAAAATAAGTTTCTAGTAGGCAAAGGGGTAAATGATTTTCTATTGTGAGACGATATTTAACTGCAGTGATCTTTTCATTAGCTTTTTGATGGTCTGTGGTAACATCAGACCTGATAAACAGGTCCATCCTCACAGGAAGTCTGATGCAGAATGGTCGCTTCCCCTCTTTGAGTTTGAAATTCAGCGATCTATGCAAAGACTGATAAGAGAATCTGCATCATGTGTGGGTGGCACTAGTTGATGATTCAAACATGCTGGAGTTAAATATAAAATATAATTGAGTAATGCAATCTGGGCTGTTTGGTTTATAATTTTCTTGTTTAGTCTTCTTCTCTCCTGTTCGCACAGAAGCACGTGCTGTTAATCAGCACACAACGAGCTATCCTAAATGTTTCCTTAGTTTATCCTCGAAATTCATCAACGGGTTCATCAAATCTGTCTCTGATTCTCTTTTCTGTATTGGTATGGGGCGCAAGTTGCTGTTATTTTAAAGTCCTAACCCGGCTTATGTCAGGGGCCTTGAAATAACCTAACGGTTGCACGGGGCTTATAAGACTTGTGCCCGAGTGATTCTCATCCGAATTTGTGTCACCGGGTGTTTATCGTTCATTGTGCGGTCTTGATTGGGTCGAACGTCACTCATTTCTGCATTTCTTTTACGGACTGGATAAAAAGTCTACAGTTAAAAGACAAACATGTCATTACAAAAAATCACTGTGAATACTACGGATTATAATAAGGTGGTTGAGGGGGGGAGGGGGGTGTGGGTGGGGGAGGGTAACTAATATATTTGCAAATAAAGATTCAAGTGAAGAAGCACAAAATCAGATGTGACGTCTTCGATCTTACCTTTCATGGGATGACACACTCCAATATATCTCTCGACTGTAAACGTTACCGTCAATATGACGGACACATTGGCAAACATGTCAGTAAACACACGAGCTACAGGAAACCAGTGGACGTAGGAGAATGATTTTGAGAAGAACTGATAATGGTTGAGACTCAGTGTAAAACTAAACACCAGGTACAGAAGATCAAACAACGCTAAGGCAGTCAGGTAGGAATTGGTTGAGGACTTCATACACTTTCTCGTCAATACGACCAGGCTCATGGAGTTTCCAATAATGCCCACAAACACAATCAGGGGCACACACAACTTCTGAACGATGAACCTGGTGAGAAAAAGCCTGTTGTCTTGGACCGTCACCTTCACGTCGCTAGTATTGCCCATCGATGACGTCAGCAAATATTTCAGGGATGAATAATTATTAGTCATGTTTATATTGTGTGCAAAGAAGTCTGCAGGGATCGCTGTGGAGTCAACGTCAGGATATGAGTTGGTCATCATTCTGAAGAATTTATTACATTTACATCAATTCGCTATTCAGTATATTTACTGTGTGGAACAGCTGATATGTGACGTTTGATTCTCAGTGTTTCACTCAGTAGAATAATTTGCATGTAGATTCGTTAGCTTTGTGACATAACTTTCAATAAGCCCTGCTATTTATCCACTGTTGATGTAACAATCAGCAGAAAAGCCTATGTGTTGATCCGTTAGGTGTCTCTTGTTGTAATCGATCGAAGTGCTTCTGTGCGGATATCAACGTTTGTATTATAATCATCCGAAACTCTATGTCAGTCTATCCTATCTGCTGTATTATCAGTTAGATCTGACATACATAGTGTCAGGAGCTCACAGTGGTCCTCTGTTTCTGTTACAGTGAGTAGAACACCTCCTTTGTGACAGCTATGTGTCTGTTATGAGCAGCAGAAAATGTAGTCCATAAGTTTACTGTGCATCAAGTGGAAATGCTTTTGTGCAGGCAGACTTCTTGTTTCTGTTATAACTAGTGGAAACACCAGTGATGAGATCTATCACTTCAGTTGTAATCACCAGAAAAGCACCCGTGTATAAACGTTATTGCTGTTATAATTAGTAAAATGATCAAGTGTGGACTCGTTATATTTCTACTTTAAGCAGTAGCAGTCTTTCAATAATCTACGGTACATATATCTTTGGTGAATGTAGCAATGGTTTGGACAGCCCTGGTGTATCCTATACGTTTGTGTGGCACTTGGTAGAGAAACTCCATTGCGTCATTGACAGGTCTCAACAACTAACAGTATAGACGCTAAATGTTGCGATTGCCATGTTGTAGGTAGGTCTCGTCTGTTTCTGGTAAGTTTCTGTTTGTATGGCTGAGTATCCCGCGTCACAAGCTAATCCACTTTCGCTGAGTTGTTCTGTAATGTCCTTCATTCGAGTCATTCTGCAAGCAAAAGTGTAATTTATTTGTGAAATTATGAAAAAACGACAATGTTCTTTAACATAGCCTACTTCAGACTATAAAAGGTGTTATGTGATCACCATCTCCTATGTTCCAGAGATTCCTGGAGATCGTCGCCGGAGCTGCAAAGTTCGTGCTATGTGCAGTGCTGTCGACAGGCAACTAGCCCTTCTGCAGAGAGAGACCGAGCCATATAAGAATAAATCCAGTGTAATGAAGTCGATCCTCTCGACTGTAATCTAAACTTTTATCTAGCCTTTAATTTTTTAAAACTGTAGTTTGGCATCTAATATTTTTTTTTAAACTGTAGGGCATCTATGTAGTTTTACCAGACATAAAGTTTGCACTCTTGGTGCATTTATATTTTATTTTTAAAACAAAACAACAACACCACATCGACAACAAAAGTATCAATAAGAAAGTGAGTAATAGACATAAGCAAAGTTTTTGTTTTGTTTTTGCTTTTGTTTTTGTTTTTGCTTAAATAAATATCTTCAGAAAACACCAGTTGCAGCTAAATTCGACTGATAAATATGTCAGTCTATAGAAACTTATTTCACGCCTCCTTAAATACTTGGCAATAAGTCTGACCAGACAAATCAATGTTAAACACAGCATTAGGATTGATGTATGACACATACTGCCACCAGTTGGGTGGTCTTCTCTCATTTACCAGAGACGCCTGAGATAGCAAGTTATGCAACCAGATTTGGGTTTTTCACTGATTTTACACATCGCCTAGTACTTGCCAACATGGAACAAATGGGGGGAAAAGATTACCTAACGTGTATATGTGAGCTTATCTATGTTGTTTCTTTCCTGTTTTATTCATTGTTATCTTGTCACCATTTCCCATCGATTAACTGATTATTATGTAAGTGTTATTTCCTTTTAGATGTAACTAATATGACAAGACAGTGGGAACGTTACTGACATGTTAAGCAAAATTTAACTTTATTGAAACAATAGAACGTGAATGAATAAAACCACACATATTTAAAAAAAAAAAAAAAACATGTGAAGAATTAACTCCACTTATGAGAAAAAAGATTAGAAAGTGACGCTTGAGGAAGTGTGGAACTTCATGTCAACGATGGATACAATAATATGTACATGGTTGTTAGACTGATCACCATTTCTTTCTGCCAAAACTCATGAGAAAATACGGTTGCTCGGATGCTACTAATGATACCGTCATACTACTACTATCACAACCACACAACTACTTCTGCAGCTAACACGGCTCATGATGCTGCTATTACAGGAGGTAACAAAACTAAAAAATAAAAACAATAACTAAAGAGAAGTGAAACGTTCTACTTCTTTGCCTGCACATTCTAGCTTGTCATAAGAATGTAAGCAAAATGTCTGTCTGTCTGTCTGTCTGTCTGTCTGTCTGTCTGTCTGTCTGTCTGTCTGTCTGTCTGTCTGTCTGTCTGTCTGTCTGTCTGTCTGTCTGTCTGTCTGTCTGTCTGTCTGTCTGTCTGTCTGTCTGTCTGTCTGTCTGTCTGTCTGTCTGTCTGTCTGTCTGTCTGTCTGTCTGTCTGTCTGTCTGTCTGTCTGTCTGTCTGTCTGTCTGTCTGTCTGTCTGTCTGTCTGTCTGTCTGTCTGTCTGTCTGTCTGTCTGTCTGTCTGTCTGTCTGTCTGTCTGTCTGTCTGTCTGTCTGTCTGTCTGTCTGTCTGTCTGTCTGTCTGTCTGTCTGTCTGTCTGTCTGTCTGTCTGTCTGTCTGTCTGTCTGTACGTGTGTGTGTATGTGTGTATGTATGCCCCCCTCCCCAATTGTTCTTTAGAACACAGTCTTTGCAATCGAATCATGTCTCACTAAGTGCCCAAACCAAGCCAGCTTGCAACGTTTCACCACTGCCAAGAGAGGCTTCTGATGTCCAGCAAATTTGTATTTTTTTTTACTCTGACATATTTAAAAGATTTGACTTATGAGTAACTCATTCATGAAATGGGTCGATAGCTTTTACATTTGAAAGTCTGAATCCTCCTTTCTATTTCCACATTGGGAGTCCAACTCTAACTCCGCAAAGGAAAATAGATAATACCAGAGATTAGTATACACTTACCTTGACTGCAATTCTGATTTTGCTTTTCCACATCGTATTCAGGATGGACATAGCAATGCAAAGATTAAACAGCCTTAAACGTCTTTGGTTAAGGTGATCAAAATAAGAATTTTGACAGCATGCATCTTCCCTGTAGCAACATACGAATGTGAATCGTATACTATCTCCGAGTTCTAAAGAAACAGAGATAGAGGCTTTTGAGCTGAAATGCTATAGAACGATTCTCAAAATATCTTGGACAAAGAAGATGAGAAATATTGACATCTTAAAAGATCTGAACATCAAGGAAGATTGACTAATAAACAGCATTCTGTCTCGGAAGCTGAAATATTTGGTATTATCAAGCGCCACTACGGTTTAAAAAAAAACAACCAACATTATAGCAATGGGCATGGTATCAGAAAAGAGGGTTGAAGGCAGACCGACACAAAGATGGGCACAGGATATAAATGACTCCTTGAGTATTAAAGTACATGAGACGGGAGAGTTGGCGAGAGACAGAGTTTCTTTCAGGTATTTGATTATTCTGACTATTTAACAGAATCTTGCTTTTCTCGGCATTAATTTCCATGCCGTATTTTTTACAGACTGTCTCTAATTGTGTAGTAAGTTCTTGGAGTTCTGTTGGAAACAGCCATGCAATCAATGTCGTCAGCAAAATGTAAATTACACAGTAAAAAAAAATTATAAAGGACAGGAGATAGTATGCAGTCCTGACTAACACCCACACTAGTAAAAAAACAAAATTGCCTGTGTCATTTTGAATGAGTACTGCATTGCTTGCATCTTTATAAAGTGCTTCAATGGTGTCTGTGGTGTACTCTTCGAAGTTGAAATTCCTCATTATTTGCCAGATCCCAGCATGCCATACACGGTCAAATGCCTTTCTGGAGTCAATGAAATTATAAAATAGGTCACGTTGATATTGTAAGCGTTATTCTATCATTGTTCTGATGTTAAAGATTTGTTTTGTGGTGCTTCTATTTTTCTGGAAACCAGTCTGTTCTTCGGCAAATATTTCTTCCGATTTTACTTTTAGTCTGTTTGCAGCATCTTTATCATTATTTTGCTTGCATGGGTGACAAGACTTAAAAGTTCTATAATTGCTGCAGCTCTTAATATTTTCTTTTTTGGGCAGTGGTATCACCAACGATTGTGTGCATTCAGTAGGCCACTTCTTTGTGACCCTAATTCTCTGGTACATTTCTGTCTTCACCTTAGTTACCTGTTCTCCCCCATATTATCACTGCTAGTCATCCCCTCGTCAGATGCAATTTTTTTGTTTGAAGCCTCAACCTGGTTTCTGCCGGGGGCCCTAAATATAGATGGGGCAGCATAGATATGGCCTAGCAATAGATATGTCTTAACGGCTGAAAGGGGTTTCTGAAACCTCTCCATCAGTGATTCTCATCCGAATGGTCGTACTGTGTGTCACCGGGTGTTTGTCGCTTGTGTGATGTCCTGGTGGGGTACAACTACCTACATACCATCCGTGTTCAAAGCTCAGCTGGGCCATTGTCCACACAAGGCGATTTTCCTTCCTTTAACGAGCCTATTGACGACTGATATGAGCAGTCAGTTCTCTCCACAACTTGCAATCTCTTCAGTTCCTAAAACTCCCCCTGAGTCTTTTGTCCACAGAAACCTGGAAGATTATTATAAATTACCAATCAAGATGGCCCACATCTTTTAAACGCGTCTCCTCCGCCTACCAGGCAGCCAACACGGGACATGTTAGAAAGAGCCATGTGGTCCACCTCAACTGTACCTTCCAACGGCTGTCTCCGGTGCTCAAGACATTTGTGGCGCTCAACTGGGACTCTCCAGTCATTTTCATAATAATTGATTAATTCTGAAGAAACCACGCACACACACACATACATACACGCACGCACACACACACTCGCGCGCGCGCGCCAAACACACACTCGCGCGCACGCGCACACACATACATTCACACACTGCTCTTCTTCCATTACTC